AGAACATTTTCACAGGCAGGAGAGCTTTAAGATGAAAGTTGTGATGTGGTCAGATGTTCAGAAGGGTGCTTGTCGGAACTTGCCTCTTATCTGGTTCTATCTTTGGTTTTGAGACATGACATTGGTCATCTGTGTGTGCGTATATATTGCCTCCAGGGTCAGATTATCTACATAGCACATTTCTCAAGGCAGCGTTCACACTTCCCCTCCCTCATGTCGAACTCCACACCCTGCAGGCTTCATAAGACACAGATTATGCAATGCTCTTTGTAGTAGCTGGCAGATAATTAGAGCGTGGACTGTGGAGGATGSACCGCTAAAAGGTCATGCATTTTAAATAATCTCACCCACTCCTTCATAAAGAATTGTTCCCTGTATAACAATATAACATGAAGTGAAATAGCTGTGTGTGGTTTATAATTGAGCGTTACATAACACGGTGTTATCGGGACCTATCTTAGCTTTCTGGTGTTACTGTGGGCTTTGGGCTTGGCAGGAAACCACATTATTTCCTGTTAGTATCATCAGTGGAAATGAACAAGGGTGCTCAGATGAAGGAACGGTTTCATGAATGAACGATAAGAAAAATGAGAGYACAGCTGATCCACAGCGTTCCTGGAGATTCAGCTGGTTGGGTGTAGATACTGCTGGAGTTTGAGACTGAATGTTGATGCTGACCCATTTTATGATYCATTGCCCAGCCAAAAAAAAAATTGCCACCTGGATTTAACTAAGTGCTTTGATCTGGGGTTGTTTCAGTTGGTCAGGTTTATGTTCAGCAACTGTATGGGCTCAAAGAATGAGGTCAGCTGACTACCTATGACCAGGATATTCCATCAATTGATATTTTTTTCTTCCCTGATGGCACGGGCATATTCCAAGATGACAATGCCAGGATTCATCGGGCTGGAATTGTGAAACAGTTCAGGGAGCATGAGACACTATTTTTACCTCCGCCAAGGCTGAGGTAATGTTTTCGGTCGTGTATGTCTGTCTGTTATTCTGTRGTTCTGTCYTTCTGTCTGTGGTAGGGCTGCACCGATTAGTTGAAATAATCAATGACGTCGATTATGTAAATTTGTCGACGCAGATTTTTTTATTATCGATTCGCTGTATTACATAACCACCACGTGAATGTTCATGCAATTCCATTTTGGTACCTAAATGCATCCTTGCAACTGTATTGGCATAAGAGTGGTGAGTTTTCCATGCT